TATAGGCATGACTGTGCAGGGATTTACATGGAAACAGGCTGAATGGCACCATCCTACCAGATCTTGAGAAACTAACCAATCTGACAAACTTGTAAGTGCCATGCAATTTGTATTCTACTGATAGCTCGCAAAAGAAATTGATATTCTACTGATAGGTGTCCAAGGGGGTACGAGTAACTCGACCACCCTTCATGAAATATGACAGGATCATCTACTTTTTGTTTTATATATCTCTTTACTGTTTGAATATTCATCCGACAGAAATACCTTCATTACCCAGCATATCTTTCATTAGGCAGTGTATCTTTGGTCAATCGTATACTAAGCTTAGTAATTGTTTATGGTTCAACCAAAACCATGGTCATTAGGATTTATGATTAACATGCTCTGTTTATTTGAATGGTTTGTGACCTGTTCTCCTAGGAACCTCTCCTCAAACTCTTTTTCGGGATTTATCCCCGAAGAGGTTGGACTTATTCTCAATCTTGACAAATTGTGAGTGTTCTCAAGAACATTGTCAATGCCGCAATTCTCTACACATTCAACGACTGCCTGTTTGGTGCTTAGTGCGCCTGATTTCTCTTTATTTATTTGTTTAATTATTACAAGTGAAAAATCAAGAGGCCTCCTCTGGAAGGATCAGATCATAAGAATTCTGATTTGAAGTGGTGAAGCTGCTGTTTATTGCAGAGATTTGTCACACAACAATCTGACCGGTCCGGTACCTAGTTCCATCGGCAGTCTTGAGCATCTGCTTTACCTGTAAGTTTTCATTATTCATTTATGGCTGTGGACTTACCATGGATTCACAACTTAGTGTGTCATGTTGAGGTTTTCTAAAGACTCTAAACGAGTTTCTATCAAGGTTGGGCTGAATTAAATTTAAATTAGTTGATATAAATTATTCTAACTACAGACTCACTATGCTCTTTGCGATTGTGAGGGCCCAATAGAGACCTGCACGCCAACAAATTGAGCGGCCCGATAGGTGTCCAAGGGGGTACGAGTAACTCGACCACCCTAAGTTACTTGTGAGTCTCGATTGCCTTTCCCTTTAGCGGCTCACGCATGATGGATGCATCTTGTACCACTGTTCGCATTTTATGTTAGATTCTGTCAAGAGAGGAAGTTTTCATTTTATTTCGCTTGTGCAAATATACATAGCAGTGCACCTTCTGATTTAACCGTAGTTAACTATCACAATTTTGTGTTTTCTTTCCAGACAATGCTCTCATCTCAATTACCTGTAAGTTATAAGTCCCTTTTATGTTACCGTCCTCAACATAAATCACATGTCACAACTCATTTCATAAAGCATAATGGCGCATTTGGAGGAGATTATACGAAGGAATAAGTGTTCGACGTACAATTTGGATCCCAACTAATGAAGGGTTTTTGTTCCAGTGATCTTTCGCACAACGAGTTTTTTGGGCCAATACCAATTGAGCTAGGCCAACTTGAAGAAGTGAATTTCATGTAAGAACTACTGGCTTCAACTTTGATCTTGTGCCCTAATTTTTATTCCATTTTTTTTACTGCTGGTCTAAAAAGTTGGTGCTCGGCATTTATCTTTCAGTAGCTTCGCTCTGACGTTCTTCATTGTTTGGCAGAGATTTATCATTCAACAATCTTTCAGGTTCAATACCAAGGCAGCTTAATAATTGCTTCAACTTGAAGAACTTGTAAGTGAATCGCCCAATAATGTTTGTAGCTTTCATTTTATGCTCCTATCCCTGTGTACTAACTTTTAATCTTTGATACAGCCTTTTAGTAAGACCGGTCTCTTGCTGCAGGAATCTTTCATACAACCATTTATCTGGAGAAGTTCCTGTTTCAGACATATTCGCAAGGTTTCCCCTTAGCAGGTAATGCCGTTTTATTGACATGTTTTCGACATTTAGCAGTGGTAGCAGATGCAAAATATAATCATGTGCACTGACGAGCATTGGCAGGGTCGATGGTTAACAGGCTGTCAGTCAAGTTCTATATCGATATGTGTTCAATATGGGTTTTGGGCGTGGTTGACGCAGCTACTATGGCAATCCCCAGCTATGCACTGCAATTAATAATTTGTGCAAGAAGACGATGCCTAAGGGTGCATCTCGAACGAATGGTACGCCTTCAAAAGTCCACTACAACTCACGTGAAAAGTATAATTCGTAAAAAATGATGTAACGTGAACTGTCAAATGTAGAGGCTCAGCTAAAACGATCATTGCTGTTGTGTCCTTCATACAATGTCCTTCACGTTGTGGATGCAATGATGTAACCTTCATACAAATCATTCACTTCACATGGAGCGGCAGCGTGTGGCCAATTCTGAAGACAAACCTCTCGTCAATGCTTAGGTCCACTGGGAGCAACAGCTGCATGGGGAATCTCGATCTCTGTTATTTGCCTCCTCGCTCTTCTATTGTTCGGAGCCATGCGCATCATGCGGCCTCGTCACCTTCTAAAGATGTCTAAAGCACCACAAGGTACATTTTGAAATTTCACGCGCATAAATTGTGGGCACATGCTTTCAACGCATCCTTGGAACGGATTTGAGGTATTTTCACGCAGTATAAATTGTTAGTGGGAATTATTTTGCAACAGTCAGCGTCATTATAGAAACAGTGGGGATGGCTCACAAGTATTGGGGAAACATCCACCATGAGCAGGGCCACCAAAATTAGTGACATTTCACTTGGGAATGGCGCCACAGTCTTACGAGGAGATGATGCGTCTGACGGAGAATCTGAGCGAGAAGTACGTGGCAGGGAGGGGAGGTTCCAGTACTGTGTACAAATGCACTCTCAAGAACGGTCACTCAATCGCCATCAAGAAGCTGTTTAATTACTATCCTCAAAACATTCATGAATTCGAGACAGAGTGAAAACATTGGGTAACATCAAGCACCGTAATGTTGTGAGTCTGCGTGGTTACTCCATGTCATCAGCTGGCAACTTTCTCTTTTACGATTTTATGGAGTACGGTAGCTTGTATGACCATCTTCATGGTGAGAAGCTGCTCTCATCTGCCCCCCTTCAATTGAACCCTCTTCATCAGTTCAATCTCATTGATATTTCGTAGAGCTTCCAAGCGCACGAGGACGTGTAGATTGGCTGCATTGTCATTAAAATTTAAGAACATTTTACACTGGAATGTTTTTAGCACTTCAAGATTCTGCTGTTATGTTCAGGACATGCAAAGCGGTCCAAAAAGATGGATTGGAACACACGTCTGAAGATAGCATTGGGGGCATCACAAGGACTCGCATACCTACACCAAGACTGTAAACCTCAAGTTATCCATCGGGATGTGAAATCGTGCAACATACTTCTGAATGCGAATATGGAGGCGCACCTGTGTGATTTTGGGCTCGCTAAAAACATTCAACCTACCCGGACGCATACCTCAACATTTGTGCTGGGTACGATAGGATACATCGATCCAGAATACGCCCAAACTTCTCGTCTGAATGAGAAGTCAGATGTCTACAGCTTCGGTATAGTTCTTCTGGAGCTTCTCATGGGCAAAAAGGCCGTTGATGATGAAGTAAATTTACTCGATTGGGTAAGCCCACCCCTGCGACAACACAATCTTCTTGGCTTCATTTGTCATTTGTGACAAAGACCACTGAAACTGCACATATTTTTCACTAAGCTGTTTTATATTATTTTTCATGAGAGAAAGATAACTTCATTTACGAGAGAGATTTGCTTATTCAGTAACTTCTGTTGTTTGCAACACGTGAAAGAATTACCGATTGTCTCTGAATGCTTTATTGAACCTAACTGAGTTGAAGTCCTAGTTGTAGTTCTTATCAGTGTTACATTCTTGACTTAGGAAGTCATAGTAGAGATATATTACAGAATACCTTTCTACAGATTCTAAACGAAATAGTTGCTAACCATCGTTGTTTGTATCTGGCTTGCAGGTGAGGTCCAAAATCGAAGACAAGAATCTGCTGGAGTTTGTGGACCCATACGTGCGAGCAACATGTCCAAGTATGAACCACCTTGAGAAGGCGCTGAAGCTGGCACTGTTGTGTGCAAAACAAACACCATCACAACGACCTACCATGTATGATGTGGCTCAAGTGCTGAGCTCACTTCTACCAGTGGCGTCATCCCCTTACAAACCCCCAACCTATCCCTCGCCAGGATCCAAACATCGGCGTTACATCGACACCTACAGCGCTAAGCCAGCCGAGGGCATCAATGCCAACAGCACTTCCTCCGGCGGAGACTTGCTGGACCAGTTTGAGAATGTGATCAATTCACGAAATATGTGATAGATTACTCAATGTCGAGGCCACTCTCCGCCTGAACAACCTTCCCAATTCTTAAACAAAAACAAAACTCGAGTCCCATTGTGTCCACCTGTAAATTCCCTGTCAGTAAATTAAATAGAATGGTAGAGATACTGCAATGAGGGTAGATCATGGAGTCCTCAAGCTGCATTTGTTCTGTCCCTGACGGAACCTGTAGAAATTGGCTGAGTGCTCGGTTGCTATCAGGCCACCCAGTGGCCCACTGGAATTACTCTACTTCCTGCTGGGACTGATCATCAAGCGAGACTCATGTCACATACAAGTCAAAGAGTGCTGTATGAATACATTCAAACAGCAATCCGAACCAGTAAGATCTATTAGCGACAGAGAAACCGAGACGCCGAGTGGCCATTTATCAGGTTTGATTTACTTTTCTGTCATTCTATAAACCTTCTTTTGGCCCTTCAATCACACCTCAGCCCCTCTGCCACCTGCACGACTCAATGGGTTTGTATGAATTAAGTTTTCCTACACTTCAAATATTAGGCACTTTCAAACCAAGAAAATTCTTTCTGCTCTGTTCATAGTTACCCTACAAATTACACTATTCATTATAATTTGCATAAAGCAGTTGAAACATATGTTAGAACTGGATGTACCTGACCAACTTGGTATTCCATTCCCTCCGACATTCCTTCTAGCAGTGTACACCATAGTTTAACAACTCACATCAAAGTCAAAAGTTCTCACTTGAACATGTGTCAAAGAGCTTTCCCTACTCGTCCATTTCACGACTTCATATAAAGCGCAAAAAATCCAGGGTACACTACTTAGAAGTAATGAGGGAAATGGCCTACGTATTAATGTCCAAAATTCAGTGCTCCCAACTAATTTACCTTTGCTACTATTAAAAAGGCAGGATTTTCAACCTGTAACTATTTAAACCTCCCTTCTACATACACTTGATTCATAGTCTTGCACAGGTCCGGCTAGCAAAGAACCCGCACACGAGAAAACTTTAACCTCATACACCTTGACATGATAATGGTACACATGTATAGACGCTGCGATAACATGTACAGACGCTGCGATGACATGAACAGTTGGCATCCTATCATACTTCTGCAAACTAATCACTTCCTCAACTTAATTTTGGTACCAGTATATTTGTCCCTAAGCTGCGAAGCAACACCATCACTATGAGATTGAGTGCCTTCTCGGTCTCCTACCGAATCCACTTCGCGAATTAGATTCTGTAACTTGAACAGGATTGGCACTGCCATTACTGGAGCTTAAGTCTTTCGAGTCTCTGCGAGCAAATGGGTTTAATCTGCTTAATTTCCTACCAACTGTTGATTTTGAGCTCTTTACAGGTTTCTCCTGCATGTCTTGCTTCATTAGCGCATGATCATTTTCAAGGTCAGTTAACCGCATCCGCATTCGCGCAAGTTCCAACTTGAGTTCTCTATTCTCCCGCCGAATGAGGGAATAACTATCTTTTGGTGAATGTGCAGCACTCAGATTCTCATTGCCCAGCCGGTGTTGGTAGTTTCCGCCGCCAGTGTCCGTCGCATCAGCAAAAGCTCCTGCCGCAAGCGCATTTCGCATTCGTAGCTGCTCAAAGTAAAGAACTTGGACAACCACTTGCACCGGTAACCTTTCATTTTGGGCTGCATGTGTGCAAGCCTCTTGTGATAGTTTCTGGCAGTCCATCAACTTGCATAATTTCTTTCTATCCACCTCGGACAATGCTGGATGTGCCTGTAAGACAGAAGCATGTAATCCAGACTCAAGGAGCGTCATGAAGAGATGGAAGAATACAGCATGCCACTTCGAAACAAGCTCAAAACAGAAACATGCCAAACAAGCAATATATTATATCAAACTGATGTTTCCAAAATCTACAAGTTTGCATATTTACTTATCCCGTTGCATTCCGTCTATAAATGGCAACATAATTCAAAAGAAATCAGCCTGACTGTGAGCTTGTTGAGAAAAAAAAAAAAAAAAAAAAAAAAAAAAAGACAAAGTAAAAAAAGAAGTCGAAATATCACGAAAAAAATCCAGCCCCGAGATCTCTAAAACAACCAAATGCAAAACAAGGTCCTAGCTTTCATCCAGAATGGCCGTCAGATATCAGAGATGCCTACCTAGCGTGTTGTAAACATCAAAACTTACAGGGCTGAAACAGCCCGTGAAAGATTCATGGATTAGTGCAATGAAACGAATAGAGGGGTGCAGGCCGAAATGAGGACTAAAGTAGGGTCATTGATAGCTACAGTACCTTGAGATAAATATCAATTGCTCTGTACAGTCCATCGTCCACCACTCTTGCATAATCAGGCAAGATTTCAGCGAGTGCAAGAAACTTGGAAAGCTTAAGGTTTGCATCAGGTGCAATTTCTGCCAGATAGCTATCAACCAGCTTTGCTACCTTCATCATCGCACTTTGAGAAAGAGATCCTCCATTATCTGAATCGTACATGGTGTGGGCCACCTGACAAAAATACCCATAACGTGTCTCAGGATAACACCACCGTGCATGCAGCTACAGCGACCTCCACTGACCATTCGAACCTATAAAGCTAGGGTATCGACATCAGCTGACTCACAACAGTGATTAGCAGCTGAATGAGATATTCAATCGATGACAACAGTTTTCAACTTTACAATCGACAGGTCTCAATACTTGACTCAATCGACAAAAAAAAAAAAAAAAAAAAAAAAAAGAAAAAAGAAAAAAAAGAAGAAGAAGAAGAAGAAGAAAGAGAACAAATGAAGAAGGAAAAAAATGTTGATCTTCGGTTTAGGATGTTTATACTTGTAAATCATCACTGTCATCTTGTTGCAGAAAGTTGACGACAATACGATGAACTATGTCATTATCAAACAAGGTATCTCCTGTGTAGGAGAAGGAAGGAATTAACAGATCATCCAACGTTGCCTGCTCCAGCTGCATTCCAATTCGCTTTTCAAGATCCAGTCTACATGCCAAGGTTGTATCTAACATAATTGCTGTTCGAAGTAATCCAAATAAGAAGCTGCACGAAGCTGTGTTCTTTTCAGGAGGCAGTAAGCTGACGATGGTTTCCACTAGAATACGTTGTTCGTGCTCCATCGCTGTAGAAGTGTCGTGAACCTGAATTGCGACCAAGGTGCTCAAAGCAAACATTCAGTACTGAAACAAACAAGAAGTACCCAAACTAGAGGTAGCATTGTACCCTTCACAAGAAGATTCACAACAGTATATATTCGTGACCTGCAGATACCTAAGGAGATCGGTAAATAAGGAACCAGTAAAAGATAACCCACAATAACCAGTACTGGCTGGATTCATCCAAGTACCCCTAAGAGGAGCTCACCAGCTGTTCAATTTCACTATGAATATGATGTGAATTAGGAATCATTTCATAGAAATGTAAGTCCGGATATGCTCAAGTAGAAGGTAGAGATTTCGGCAGCTACCTTATCAACATACATAACTCATAATAATCTTGACATGCATAGTCCTTATTGAAAATGTACAAATTACAGAGGAAGGTAGCACCTTCATCTTTGGGGGCTTCAAATCACTTCTCCCGTTTTGTTTCCTATTAAATCCCTTAAGAGACCGATGAGCGAAATGCATGAGCGCCCCTCCGATACTCTCCACCCGTAGGCCCTTCGTTCTCATGGCAGCTAATAACCTTTGGTATAAATCAATGCGCAGTACAGCTAAATCTTCGGCCCACCAGTCCGCCATGGGAACTTTGCTGGCATGTGAAAAATTACTGCTACTTGACAGCTTAAAATTCTCAGAGCGGCCTGAACCACCTAATTCAGAGCGACCTATGGCATTGGTGTTCTGTTCCCTGCAAATCGATGCAAACGATCTTCTTAGATACAAAAGAAGTTTCTACAAACTTTTGTTATTGATCAGATGAAAGAAACACTTCGATCTTGAAGGTAGCCATAGAATGGTAAAATCGTCAACTTACAATTAAATAAGCTACAGTGTTAAGATGCTCATACACCTTGCAAGAGACCACTTAATCAGTACTCAAGTGACTGAATTAAAACAGCCTTAGAGAGGACAAGATTCATCAACCAGGATCACGGGAAGAAAATTGAACTGTTATACCGCCCAAGGCGTAAAGAAGGTGAACTAAACGTGTCACAAGTAAAAGTATTAAGGAACAAATTATCACCTGCAAGCTTTCGTTGCTGCAGACTCTATGCATTTGCTTACGATTCCCAGGTCTTCTGCAAGGGGAAGAAGGTTCTCACAATTATGAAGAACGGCAATGGAATCTGCCAGACTTTGCAAGACGACCTCCGAGAGAAAGGTCTCAGTTCGTGCCACCAGGTTGTTTTCGCCGTAAGGTTCTGTCATTTCTAAATACTCAGCAGCACACCGCAATACAGCTACATTTGACGTTGTGATCTCAAAGTTGATGCCGTAACAAAACTTAGCCGCTAGATCAAAAGCCTCGGCACCCCCAGGTACGTCAGTAAGCCGCAGCAAGTTGGGATTCTCGTTGTCTACCAAATTTGGTACAAGTTTCCTTATACGTCCACTCCTTGCAACCAGTGGAAACTGATAAACAGCCATTTCGAAGTTAAAAACGTCAATTCTCTAATCTCCATTCAAATATACTGTACTTCTGGAGGTAAACTGCAGTTAATAAAATATGTGAACATCTACGACTAATTAGAACTAGCATGTTTTAGTGTGTTGCATGCTAACGCAGTAACCCTGGAGAGCGTTACAAAGCGAAGTGCGGCATTAATCAATGTAAAAAAGATTCAGCCAACCACTTCAGGGAGCCTGCTCAGAATTACGATGTGGTACAACAAAGCGACACGACACTGCCAATCTCTGATGAGCGCGTACTTGCACCCTCCTTACAGAATCAAAAGTTTCGTTGCTGCAAACCCCTATAAAGGCTTAATGTAGCAGGCAACTTGAAAACTAACCTGCTACGGACATCTGTTCGCGGTTCCCACAGAAAGATACCTGCGCAGAGAATATAAACAGGTGCAAGAGCTAGCCAATGAAAGTCCTAGTCTATTGAGATGCCAAAGAAAAAGACACAATTACTGACCTTGTGTAACGAAAAATTCATGCCCCCGGCTTCGACAACTAAGTCGCTGGGAACATCCGTTGTTAGTACCCTGCAACAGATATGGCAAACAATAAGAAACGTACACGCTAACAAATCTAAATCCCTACGCATGACGCTGTCATATTCTCCAAGGACTTCAGAAGTTGAACGCAGTACTCACTCCACATCAGCTAGCAATTCGTTACAAAATCTTAGCGTCGAAGTGACGCAAGATTTTCTGGAGGCATTTCAAGGGTTGAAGAATGTGGAAGAAAGTTGAGGTGAACCTAACGATGTCTGGCGAACACATTCTTATGATAATCAAGACCAAGACAGCAATGTTAGATAGTGGTAGAAGAATGTCGAGAAGAGAAATTATGGAATGACAAATGAGATGAGGACGAGATAGTTACCACTCATTCGTGCGCTTCATAGAGAAACTAGCACGTGAGGTTCTTCGTCCTGATACAACGTCAAGTGAGTGCCGCCGGGCGGGGAGCGGCTTCAATGTGTCAAACTTTGGCGTCACCGCCATATCTGCGCGGGTTCTCGATAACCAATCCGTTTTTGCTCCTCTTTCCTCCAGCTTGCCTTCTTTTCGGTAACTACTGCAGCTGCAATTCCTCCCCTCCCCAAACTACTGTTTTCTCGGCTACCACAGCGAATGCACAGCTTAATGACCAACTCCTAACCTCCGATTCCGCTCTGTCGTACTACACCTCTCGGACAACATAATCCTCTCGGTAATGTATCAACTTCCTTCTATCACGGCTCCTCAAGCACAATCCACCACAAGCAGGCTAGTGCTCATAATAAACCTAAGTGAAAGGCGTCAGAGCCCACATGAAAATGCAGCAGAGCTAAAAAAAAGGGATGGCGAAGTAAGTGGACAATCAGAAGCATTTCCTGTCGCCTGACGACAAGAACCCTCTACGTGATTTCCAAAAATCACTAGCCACATTCAACAGCAGCTCCGAATTCCATTTCTCGTGCAAAGCATCACAAGCTGGCAGAGGAAAGCTGCATCAGAGAGATAGAGGCGTTTTGCAGATGTCAAGTTAGCGGACAGCTACGAAGAGGTGTGCCGCAATAGCATGAAACCTGTAGTAGGACAGAAGTAGGATGAAATGAGTTTTTCACATGAGATCACGTCAGGGAGGACCACATGCATGTAAATATAGAAAACTCTAGTTTTCTGACCACGCAGTCGGTTAAAACACCAATCGACCAGCTACTGGGGGGGGGGGGGGGTTGATAAAATGGCAAGCGGAGCGGTGACAGACAACAGTAGGAGAATAGTTGAAGGGGGTTGAGAAGAATCATAAATCACTCACTCCAATGGCTGCTGATAAAACACCTATCTTATAGTATTTTAAAGTAATAGGTAAGAAGTAGGAAAGGACTACTGCACAGCCAGAGAAAGGGGAGTGCCTATGTTTCAATGTTGTAGACTGCAGGTTGACGACAGTGCATTCTTTGTGGAGAATCGAGGATTTCGGCGCTTGCGGCAAAAGAATATTGGGACAGGCACGCTCGAGCCATCCTGACGGAAAGGATGCATAAATGTATCCAGAGGACACAATCTTTCGCGTCAGACTACGTGGAACAATTCAGAGTACGCACCATTACACCCGCAAGTACCGCACCAAGGCCAGAAAAGCGGATTTACTGGAGGAAAGGACGAGGGAAATGCAGGGTTGCCGATGTGAAGAGACGGGGAGTCGGTGGCCTGATGAAACAGGCAGTCAGGAGAGTAGAGGAGGAGTGGTAGGGAAGGGAAGGAAGGAGTTGGGGGGGGCGGGGGGGGGGGGTATGTGTTGCGTGAGCTGAGTGGAATATCCATGGAACAATGGGATGGATGAGGAGGGTGGGGGAGAGTAGAAGAAGCTGAGACGAGGAGCAACGAGCAACGAGCAACAGTTGTTTGTTGTTTCCGTGCAAACCAGGTAGGAAGGAAGCAAGGGGGAATGAATGAATAGAGGCCACATGAAACTGCAAGGGTACTCCCCCGCATCTCGGATCGCCAGAAGAGAAGCCTACTTCTTCTTCTTCACTTTCCCGCAGCCCTAGACTCTCTCCCCTGCCCCCTTCATTTTCCCAGTTTCCATGCTCGCCTTCCCTCCCTCCCTTTCTTCCTTCCTCGCTTCCTTCATCCCTTCCCCTCCCTCGTTGCCGTGCCCCAACTTCATCTCTCTTGAGAGTCGTCCATCCAGCATGGCCACCGTGTCACCACTTCGGTAAAGGAAATAACATCCTGTTAGCTGTAGGTTTTCCTTGAACACATGTTAAAACAAAATAATAATAATAATAATAATAATAATCATAATATGTATGATTCGCAATCAACTTCTTCTATACCTGAACTACCATAGGTTTCAAGATACATCAATATCAACAATAAATAAATAAATAAATAAATAAATAATGATCTCACATTACATAAATGAGCTTTAAAAGTGGCTAGTGTTGATTGTGGTTTATTTTAAAAAATATTGGCAAAATCATCACTTAGAGTCATAAGAAATAAGAAATGTAAAGTGCATTTGCAAAATATACATTCATTGCACAGATTTACAATTATGTTATATGTATGTACATGTATTCACACACACATATATATTGTTGGATGTTGCAAATGTACAGAACGAACAATCACATACAAAATTTACTGAAAATACTTTGTTAGAATATGTCTTTATGTTTTACAATGTACAATATTTAATTATCTTTTCATACCCATGGACCATGAAAAATATGTATAAAACGCTAACATTTCTGTCAATTCTAGGGTCACATGTAATTTAAGTTAATAAGTTTAAATATTTTCCACAAAATCGATTCTATTCATGAACATGGGTATGCATTATGTATGTATGTATAGGTACACACACACAGATACTGATAATTGAAAAATAAAATAAAATAAAAAATATTAGGTTCAAAATTTCAAAACCTAGCAGAATAATATTGCTTAAAAGTTGTTCTTTGTTCAAAGTTCAACACGTCAAAAAATCGATAGTAACTTGCTAACTTGTGAAATTATGTGTAAAAAAACAAAAACCTTATTCTTAAATTCAATAGAGATTAAGTTACTACATAATCGTAACTTCAAATTTTACAACAGCATGTAGGACATGCACAAATGAATGTATTTTTCTTTTGTAAGGGATTCTTTTATAAAGATTTATTTATTTATTTATTTATTCATTTATTGAAAGATGTGTTTATCTAGCGAGTAAGTATGCATTTACGCAAGTGGAAAAAAACACACTGTATAAAAATATGTCTAGGGCAACATTAACAAAAATTCAAAATTTCAAAAAAGAAACAAAACAAAACAAGATCAAATTCTTTGGGTTTCATAATACATTTGTGTGTGTGTGTGTGTGTGTGTATATATATATATATATATATATATATAGTGTTTTTTATTTATTGTTTCCAAAGTGATAAAAAAAATCTAAAAGCTTTATTGAAGTGTTATTATAGATACATACAATTATTTTTATTTCATTAACCATTTTTCAAATTTCATGTTATGAAGCTTTCTAGATAAAATATTGTATAATTTATTTTTATTTTTAATGTATATATATAGACATATACAAAAATACTTATATTTATAAATATTTACTAAAAATATATTATATATATTTTATAATTAAATCTATTTTTGTTCCCAATAGGTAATTTAATGAAGATTTTGATGGCATTATTTTGATAATAAAATAATGAAATTTAAATTATTTTAATGTAGAATATATAAGAATATTATGTTGTAGTCTTTTAAAAAAATTAGTTGCTTTGAAGTATTTACAAAATTTATGAATTTTGACGGCATTGGATGCTTTAGAAAGGATCTTTGCCTATTTTCTTTAAAAGAATGAAGTTGAATTATTTTTTTGATAAAATTAAGAATTAAATTTTTATGATCACTTGGGAATGTAAGATTTTTTTAGAAATTTTAATAACGAAGCCAATTTTTTTAAAAAATTAAAAAGTATCTACCATGATGTATAGTGTGTAATGATTATTGACTTTGCGGTAATTCCACTACACAATTGTGTAATGATTACACTTCTGTGAAAAATCATTTTTTTAGAACTACTTAAAACAGCTTGAATGCTATTAAACACAGCAAACGTTTTTGTAGAATGGTTTAAAGATTATTTTTAGGATTGTGCATAGAGTAGACACCCAACAAAATTTTAATTTTTCTTTTTAAACAAACTAATGCAAACCTTAAAATTTTGTGACGATTTAGAATGAGTTCTCTGCAATGCAAAAAACCAGTTTATTTTAGTTTTTTTTTTTTTTTTTTTTTTTTTTAATTTTTTACCCCAATTTAGAATCACCCCAATCAGGTATAACTTTCAAGCTCTCCATTTTAAGCATCTGCAAAGACTGCAAGGTGCTCATCACCAGTGGCTGTACGTTTTCTTGAGTTCCATTTCTTAAGCATCTTGGTTTATTCACACTTTTCTTGGCCACGAAAAAGGTTGTAAAATTTTACTTTGTGGTTGTTCAGTCAAATTTTGATCATTTTTATAGAAAAGTTGACCAAAAAAAATTAAAAAATATTTTCATAACAATAGAATCATTTATGTTTTCTTTAGTATAATTAAAAAATATAATTTTTATTTATTACAACTATTTAAATAACTAAGTTAAAAGAAATTTGAGATAAAATATATTTAAAGTGGTGTTTTATTCTTCATTATTTTAAGGATCTAGGATCTTTATAATATTTGGAGAAGTGAATCATAAAAAAGATATATAATTAAAATACATACTTTTGGGTATAGAAAAGTTTTTTTTTTTTTTTTTTTTTTTTTTTAATTTAATTTAATTTTTTTTTTATGTTCTTGTGGATTCCTAAGTATTTCAAAGTTCTTATGAATTCCTATGTGTTTCTTGAATTTTCATAGATTTTTGTGAGTTTATGAAGTTTTCATGGATTTCTATATGTTTTCTTTGCATTTCCAAGTTCCTATTATTTCTTTTGATTTTTATAAGTTCTACAAGTTTCTATAGATCTTTGTAAGTTCTTATGGATGTTTGTGCATCATTTCCAAGTTCTAATTAATTTCCATGTATTTTTTATCTTTCCTCATATGAAATTATATAATTGAGGAAGAAGAGTATCAATTCTAAATTCAATTTTTCAAAGCTTATGATGCAATTAATTGACTAAGGTTAGGATAGCCAAAGACTTTCTAGCATTGAAAAATATCTATTTAAAAAAATTGATAATATTTTTAAGTTATAAGCTATGATAGAAGCTTCTTATATTGATAGAATATATAATATTGATGCATTGAGGCTATATTTATATTGAATTTTTAGTACAACACATAATGATATTATATATGAAGAAGTTATTAGTGATAGCACTATAGAAATTGCTTGAAATAATAGTCAAATACAAAGGCAAATTTTGATGCAATTGAAGATTGATAAAAAATTATTAAAGCAGATTTTACATGAAGTACAAAATATAAGTACTTTTATACAAAGTACTATAGCTCTTTCTTTAGTGGCAATGTAATTTTAAGATTATGATTGATGTCAAGTAGGTAGAAAAAGTTGGAAGGTTTTTGTCACAGACATATATATTTACTTCAATAATTACTTATATGATTAAATAGAAAAAGATAAATATAGATTAATTTCTTAAAGTCTTTTAATGAAGCTTTCTAGAAGCTTCATAGATGCGGTTTTGACTTTAGATGTGTTTGTAGATTGAGAACTTAGTCAAGAAGTTAACCATGTGTCGGTAGCTTGTAGAACAAGTTAACTCAGTATAGTAGCTTGTAGAACAAACTAACCATACATAGATAACTTGCCTTACAAGTTAAGACATGTGGCTAGCAAAGTCAATACATTTTGGAGGTCTTATAGAACATCGCTATGTAGCTCCTAATTAAGAGTATATATAGAAGTAAGAATGAAGCCTTCTTTACTCTTGTCAATGCCATTCTAGTCCTTAGTCTTGTTTCAAGACTTTATAGTCTTTTTATTTTTAGCAATATCTATTCTAGTTAATATTATATTACGTTTTAAGTGACTTTCTACTTCTCTTCAATGACACAAGAGAGTATCGAGGATTTTCTTTCTTTGAGATTCATATCCTTCACAGTTTGACAAGAGTACTAACATACTATTTTTATTTTATTTTAGAAGTGAATGAATTATCCCACTTCTACTATTGTATTTTGAAGGTTGTAGACTATTTATCTTTTAAACAAAAAAATCTTGTTTTCTAACTTTGATCTTTCTTTAAAGAGACTAGATTATCCATCTTTGTAGAAATTTTTATTAAAGGTTGTAGATTACCCTCTTTTAATTTAATTTTTTGGATTTGTTTGAATTGCCTATAAAAGGAAAGATTATGGATGCTACTCCTAGTGGAAGTGAAAATAGATTTACAACTATTGTAGATCTTCATGAGCTTCTCAACAGTCTTAGAATAGAAATCTCACATATTTCTAATAAAAATCATGGAATACTATACCTACACATGTGAAAGAAGTTCAGAGTTTGTGACAAGAAGTTGTGCAATTGAAAGAATCAAGTAGATAAACTTTACAATCAAATCTAAAGAGTTTTGCTTCTACAAGTATGACAAGGAGAATGATTAGTATGCCTGAGAAGTTTGATGGAATAAGATCAAAATTTTGAGGATTTTTGCAATAAGTCAAGCTCTATCTAAGGTTGCACTCTTTTCAATACCCTAATGGATTTACTCAAGTTAGATTCATAGACATACATCTATTAG